CGTCCGAACGGGAAGAAGGGCAGAAGTGGCTTTGAGGAGCCTTCGGCAGCCTGGAAAGGCCCGAGGTGAACCCGGCTGCTCTTGCATTTCCTTCCCAATGCATACATGCAGAGTGTGGCTATATCCCAGTCTGACAGCAGAATCGGAGAGCGCCTTTGGGTGCAAAGAAGTGGGAGAGAGAAAACAAACTCTCACGAAGCCTGGCTAATTGCAAAGAGAGGAGAAAGGAGGGATCTTTCTGTTTGGAGCAAAAAAGCAGAACACTTTTTTTGCAACAGGATTCCATTTGAGTCCTCTCTGTCTGTCTCTCCTTCCCCAAATCCTAATATTATTTTTTTCTCCTAGAGGGGTGCAATGGGTATATAAAATTATCTAATGCAACCTGATTGAATATTCATTGCAAGCGACTGGAAGCTGAGAGAGAGCGCAGTGGTTGGGAACAGAGCCTCTTTGCTGCTAAAGGGGAAATCAGGTCACGCTGTCTTTTAAGGGCAAAGAAGAAGGAGAGGGCAAGAAGGGGAAAGAAGAGAGGAGATTGGAGTGTTTCATGGCAGTGGTTTGGCCTTTCTGAAAGTGATTGGGATTTTTTTCAGAGGTTTCAATGAGAAAATGTCAGAGATCTCAGAAAGCATGGATGGGGAAAATTTAAATAAAGGAGACAAGAAAAGAGCACAATTAGGGTCATTAATCAATGCCGCCTGCTAATCTCATAGTGAAGGTTACAGAAGCAAGTGAAGTGGTTCGAGAAGGAGACTTGGAGGATTGAATGGCAGAATTTGCCAGGGGTTTAACTCGGTGGTTCCCAACCTGTGGTCCATAGACTACCAGTGATCCACAAAAATGAAAATGTGGTCCACAGCCTCATCATTACCACACCATTGCCACGAAACCATGTGGCAACAAAAGCGACTGGTCTCGCAAAACCTTCTTATAGTGCCAAGGCGAAGAGGATGTTGGGAGGGGAGAGGCTGACTAACCACGAAAGATTACTACAACCACATCAGCTCTAGATCTGGTTTTCTGTGGGCGTGCAGATGGTGACTATTGGATGGCATATGTTCTGTATCAGAAAGTAAAGCTGATGTGGCCTAGCCAATGCAATTTTTGAATCAGCACCTCAAATAACCAAACTGAATGTATAGTTGACCAAAAAGGATTCGTAACCCTTTTGGTACTAATGTTGGAGAGTGGTCCCTGGTCAAAGTGGTCCCTCTCAAAAAAAAAAAGTTGGGAACCACTGGTTTAACCTACGTGTAGCATCATGTTGCAACATAATTGCTTTTTGAGTGTATCCAACTCATTTCCAATTTATGGAAACTCTAAGTCAGCATTTCTCAACCTGGAGGTTGGGAACCCTGGGAGGGTTGCAAGGGGGGTGTCAGAGAAGTCGCCAAAGACCATCAGAAAACACAGTATTTTCTGTTGGTCATGGGGTTCTGTGTGGAAAGTTTGGCCCAATCTATCATTGGTGGAGTTCAGAATGCTCTTTGATTGTGAATTATAACTACAACTACAACTTCCAAATGTCAAGGTCTGTTTACCCTGGACTCCACCAGTGTTCACAACTGGACATACAGAATATCCGTGCCAAATTTAGTTCTGATTCATTATTGTTTGAGTCCACAGTGCTCTATGGATGTAGGTGAACTACAACCCCAAAACTCAAGGCCAGTGCCTACCAAACCCTTCCAGTATTTTGTGTTGGTCATGGGAGTTGTGTGCCAAGTTTGGGTTAGTTCCATCATTGGTGGAGTTCCAACAGAAAATACTAGAAGAGTTTGGTGGGCATTGATCTTGAGTTTGGGAGTTGTAGTTCACCTTCATCCAGAGAGCACTGTGGACTCAAACAATGATAGATCTGGACCAAACTTGGCATGGATACTCAATATGCTCAAATGGGAATACTGGTGGAGTATGGGGAAAATAGAGCTTGACATTTGGGAGTTGTAGTTGCTGGGGTTTATAGTTCACAATCAAAGAGCTTTCTGAACTTAACTAACAAAGGAATTGAACCAAACTTGGCAAATAGAACTCCCATGACCAACAGAAAATACTGGAAGGGTTTGGTGGGCATTAACCTTGAGTTTTGGAGTTGTAGTTCACCTATATCCAGAGAGAACTGTGAACTTAAACAATGATAGATCTGGACCAAACTTTGCATGGATACTCAATATGCTCAAAAGGGAAAACTGGTGGAGTATGGGGAAAATAGACCTTGACATTTGGGAGTTGTATTTGCTGGGATTCATAGTTCACCTACAATCAACCGACTGAGGGTAAAAGGAGAGGGCCCGAGGATGTTTGGAATTGTGGGAGTTGAAGTCTAAAACACATGGAGGGCCCATGCCTGTACTAACTCTCCCCAAGGGAGCAAATACTGAGTTTTTGAAACTGAGTCCACATGTGATCTCAACCAATGATCTAGTTCCAGGTAAGTGAGATGCGGCACGGCTCTCCTAACAATCTGAGGCTGTCATCTCAGTTTCACTGCAATGATTAAAAGATTTAAGCGTTGCAGGAAGTGGCAGAGAAGGGAATGGAAACGGGCTGCGTTTACCCTCGCGGGAATCCTGCTGTATTACATGTCCAGGGACTTTTTTGATGAAAGGCTTTCTCTCTTCCACAACATCACAGCGCTCTCTTCCTTTTTGCAGCTTTAAAGGGAAGCATCTAATTGGGCCCAGCTTTGAAAACATGTTGGTTGGGAATCAGGACCTGCTTCCCTTCTTGCCAAGGCATTACTGCATCCTGAGACAGGAGACCTGAACCGAGGGGCACTTGCCAAACTGAGAGTGGATTGCGCTTTGGCAAAGGCTGAGAAGTTCACCACCATGGATGCCAAACAGCAAAATGAAAAACAAGCAGGAAAGTTGTGCAGAATATTAATGAGCTAAGGAAGGGGGTGGCGATGGTGCAGAGCCCTAAATCTCCATCCGGCTCCAAGCCCTGCGTCAAAACGGGAAAATGTACATGATGGCTTTCTGGAGTTGGGGGAAAACTTGCCCAGGTTGCCCGTATCGTTGGAGTGTCAGACCTTGTGGAGATAGTAGTCAAGCCAGGTTTCAATGGAGGACCAAGATGGTCCACTTTAAGTTAACAGGTGTAGCCAAAGGGTGGAAGAAACCATTCTCCATTCTCAATGGCTTGCATGGCCAGAATCACTGGCTTGTTGTAGGTTTTTCGGGCTATATGGCCATGTTTTAGAAGCATTCTCTCCTGACATTTCACATGCATCTATGGCAGAAATCCTCAGGGGCTGGAAACAAGAGTAAAGAAAAAGATCCACCCAGAGGAAAAAGGGCTTTTTGCCATACATCAAGGGAACCATTGGCTGCACAGGGAAGCTGATAAGGAAACACAACCTACAAACTATCTAGACCAGGGGTCCTCAAACTAAGACCCGAAGGACGGATACGGCCCTCCAAGGCCATTCACTCAGGGTCAACCTAAGTCTGAAACGACTTGAAAGCACACAACATCAACAACAATCTTATCTCATCAGCCAAAAGCAGGCCCACACTTCCCAGTCAAAGGATCCAGAGGATGGAGAACAAGCCTTATGAGGAGCGGCTTAAAAAGCTGGGCATGTTTAGCCTGCAGAAGAGAAGGCTGAGAGGAGACATGATAGCCACGTATAAATATGTGAGGGGAAATCACAGGGAGGACGGAGCAAGCTTGTTTTCTGCTGCCCTGAAGACTAGGATGCAGTGGAGCAATGGCTTCAAACTACAGGAAAAGGAGATTCCACCTGAACATTAGGAAGAACTTCCTAACTGTGAGAGCTGTTCAGCAGTGGAACTCTCTGCTCTGGAGTGTAATTGAGGTTCCTTCTTTGGAGGCTTTGAAGCAGACGCTGGATGGCCATCTGTTGGGTGTGCTTTGAAGGTGATTTTCCTCCTTCTTGGCAGAATGGGATTGGACTGGATGGCCCACGAGGTCTCTTCCAACTCTGTGATTCTATGAATAGAGCAGAAGACCTACAGGAAGCCAATTCCCTCTTAATGTTATCTTAGGGTGCATCTATACAGTTGAATGAATGCAGTTTGACCTCACTTTTTATTGCAATTGTTCTGTGCTAAATTGCCATTTTAAAAGGTCTTTAACCTTCTGTGCCAAAGTGTGTGCATGCCTCACCAATGTGTCGTCCAGAGGAGGGCGACTCAAAGGATCAAGGGTCTGGATAACAAGCCCTATGAGGAGCGGCTTAAAGAGCTGGGCATGTTTAGCCTGCAGAAGAGAAGGCTGAGAGGAGTCATGATAGCCATGTATAAATATGTGAGAGGAAGTCATAGGGAGGAGGAAGCAAACTTGTTTTCTGCTGCCCTGGAGACTAGGATGCAGTGGAGCAATGGCTTCAAACTACAGGAAAGGAGAATTCACCATGGAAAAAGAAAATGAAGGAAGACTGCCTTTTCTAGATGTCCTAGTCATCTGTAAATCAGATCAACAATTGGGTCACACCATGAACTTTAGGAAGAACTTCCTGACTGTGAGAGCCATTCAGCAGTGGAATTCTCTGCTCTGGAGTGTAATTGAGGCTCCTTCTTTGGAGGCTTTGAAGCAGAGGCTGGATGGCCATCTGTTGGGGGTGCTTTGAAGGTGATTTTCCTGCTTCTTGGCAGGGGACTGGATGGCTCACGAGGTCGCTACCAACTCTATGTTTCTATGAAAACTACAACTTCTGTGATTCTATAGCCTTGAGTCATGACAGCTAAATTGGTGTCAATTGGACTACTGCAATGCACTCTACGTGGGGCTACCCTTGAAGACGGCCTGGAAACTTCCTGACTGTGAGGGCTGTTCAGCAGTGGAACTCTCTGCTCTGGAGTGTAATTGAGGCTCCTTCTTTGGAGGCTTTGAAGCAGAGGCTGGATGGCCAGCTGTTGGGGGTGCTTTGAAGGTGATTTTCCTGCTTCTTGGCAGAATGTGGTTGGACTAGATAGCCCACAAGGTCTCTTCCAACTCTATGAATATATGAACAGATTAGGGACTGACCATGGTTGAAAAGTGGAACCCAGTCCTTTATTAGCTTGCTAATACTAGATGGCCTTCTCTGACTAGCCTCCCCGCTACGACACTAGTCGCAGGGAACAATGAAAGCTCAACAGCTTTGTGAGTAATTCTCGACAATACTAATGCCTTTCCTTTCATTCTGTTGAGTCCCTTTCTCTTCTTTTATCACAGCAGCTGAAAAACACTTTTGTGCTTCAAAAGAGAGGAGGGGAATAAAAGAGAAGGAAATCAGTATTCTTTAGATTACTTCAAAATCATTATTTCAGGCAAAAAGCGATCACAAAGGAATACCTGAACTTTCAGCAAGGCCAGAGATGAGATAGTTCCTGCGAGAATCTGTGCAGCAATAATAATAATAATAATGACTTTTTCCTGGAATAAAAAGTATAATAGGATAAGAAAAAATGCATATGTTCAGAGAAAGACAATGAGTCGTGTGGGGTCGTAGAGTGCTTGACCCTAAAGATGTGAGGGGTAGGTTAAATGTCCAGCTTTTCCAGCTTTCCGCAGCACTATCTTCAGTCTCTGCATTCACAACAGTCCAACTGTATTTCCTTGTCTTTTGGAGTGAAGGATGAAACCCCATCTAGGGCAACTTCTTCTTTTCTTGAGAGTTTAATGCCACTCCTTTCCACTTTGGGGCAAAGTCACCACTTGGAGTACTTCCTGCAAGCGGAATCACGGTAGAACTGGAAAATGGTATCCGCAGCTCGCTGCGAAGCAGCAACACATTGCTGGAGCTGGAGGGATAAAGACAACAAGTTAAACATGAGCCAACGATGTGATGCTGCAGCTAAAAAAGCCAACGGGATTTTGGCCTGCATCATAGAATCAAAGAGTTGGAAGAGATCTCATGGGCCATCCAGTCCAACCCCCTGCCAAGAAGCAGGAAATTGCATTCAAACCTCCAACAGATGGCCATCCAGCCTCTGTTTAAAAGCCTCCAGAGAAGGAGCCTCCTACACAATCTGGGGCAGAGAGTTCCACTGCTGAACAGCTCTCACAGTCAGGAAGTTCTTCCTAATGTTCAGATGGAATCTCCTTTCTCGTAGTTTGAAGCCAGTGTTCCACATCCTAGTCTCCAGAGCACCAGAAAACAAGCTTGCTCCCTATTCCCTATGACTTCCCCTCACATATTTATACATGGCCATCATGTTTCCTCTCAGCCTTCTCTTCTTCAGGCTAAACATGCCCAGCTCTTTAAGCCGCTCCTCATAGGGCTTGTTATCCAGACCCTTGATCATTTTAGTCGCCCTCCTCTGGACACATTCCAGCTTGTCAATATCTCTCTTGAATTGTGGTGCCCAGAATTGGACACAATATTCCAGGTGTGGTCTAACCAAAGCGGAATAGAGGGGTAGCATGACTTCCCTAGATCTAGACACTATGCTTCTCTTGATGCAGGCCAAAATCCCATTGGCTTTTTTTGCCTCACATCACATTGTTGGCTCATGTTTAACTTGTTGTCCACGAGGACTCCAAAGATCTTTTTCACACGTACTGCTCTCGAAGGCAGGCATAGGAGTCTAGTATCTAGATCTAGGGAAGTCATGCTACCCCAGCTATAAGACCACACCTGGAATATTGTGTCCAATTCTGGGCACCACAATTGAAGGGAGATATTGACAAGCTGGAATGTGTCCAAAGTAGGGCGACTAAAATAATCATGGGTCTGGAGAACAAGCCCTATGAGGAGCAGCTTAAAGAGCTGGGCATGTTTAGCCTGAAGAAGAGAAGGCTGAGAGGAAACATGATGGCCATGTATAAATATGTGAGGGGAAGTCATAGGGAGGAGGGAGCAAGCTTGTTTTCTGCTGCCCTGGAGACTAGGATGTAGAGAAATGGCTTCAAACTACAGGAAAGGAGATTCCATCTGAACATGAGGAAGAACTTCCTGACTGTGAGAGACGTTCAGCAGTGGAACTCTCTGCCCCGGAGTGTGGTGGAGGCTTTTTCTATGGAGGCTTTTAAACAGAGGCTGGATGGTCATCTGTCGGGGGGGGGGGGCTTTGAATGCAATTTTCCTGTTTCTTGGCAGAATGGGGTTGGACTGGATGGCCCATAAGGTCTCTTCCAAATCTATGATTCTATGAAAGAAAGTGGGAAGTGGGTAAATATCATGTAGAGCAGTGGTTCTCAACCTGGGGTCCCCAGATATTTTGGCCTACAACTCCCAGAAATCCCAGCCAGTTTACCAGCTGTTAGGATTTCTGGGAGTTGAAGGCCAAAAACATCTGGGAACCCCAGGTTGAGAACCACTGATGTAGAGGTCAAAGAGACATTCCCATTCTGGGTGCTACTGGTTCCTTTCCTGATTGTTATTGTGTGCCTTCTCTCTTTCGGAGTCCCAGAACCGCCATGCTATTGTTTGAAGGTTGGATTATGACTTTGGAGAACCAAGATTCAAATCCCTTCCCAGCCATGGAAACCTATCTTGGGCAAGTCACACACTCTCTCAGCCTCAAAGGAAGGCAAAGGCAACCCCCTTCTGAAGCAACCTTATCTAGCAAACCCCTGATAGTTTCAGCACAGGTTGAAAATGACTTTTTTTTTCATTTCAGGAGCGACTTGAGAAACTGCAAGTCGCTTCTGGTGTGAGAGAATTGGCTGTCTGCAAGGACATTGCTCAGGGGATGCCCAGATGTTTTACCATCCTGTAGGAGGCTTCTTTCATGTCCCTGCATGAGAAGCTGGAGCTGGCAGACAGAGCACACCCCAAGCCACCGACCTTTGAGTCAAAATCCTCGCCGCACAATGGTTTAACTTAGTTTGCATTGATAATACATATGCCTTTAACTGATATTTATATGTCACATTACACTATGTTCCTATTATGCTGTTGGAGCCCCCCGTGGCGCAGTGGGTTAAACCCCTGGCAGGACTGAAGGACAGGTCGCAGGTTCGAATCCGGGGAGAGGCGGATGAGCTCCCTCTATCAGCTCCAGCTCCTCATGCGGGGACATGAGAGAAGCCTCCCACAAGGATGATAAAAACATCAAATCATCTGGGTGTCCCCTGGGCAACATCCTTGCAGACGGCCAATTCTCTCACACCAGAAGCGACTTGCAGTTTCTCAAGTCACTGCTGAGACAACAAAAAAAAAGTTAGTTCATTTTTTGGTGCTGGTCATCGACCATACATACATACACACACACACACACAAACACACACACATACATACACACACACTTTTGAAAGGAGTTGTTCTACTCCAGTAACTTCATTTTTGTGGCTGCCACAAACTTATGTTGAATTGGTTGGGATATTATTATTATTATTACTATTATTATCATTATTATTATTATTATTATTATTATTATTATTATTGATGAGATACTCATTGCAAACTGTGCTGCAGGATGTCTCTCCTGCAAGCATAAAATTTTGGCAGTTAAATAAACTTTTCCCATGTTTTTATGACAGAACCAATTAGGGAATTACATTTATAACTCAGGAACAAAAATCGTGTTACATAGTGTTATTTGTCATTGTTATGGGTCATTATTCTGGTGCCACGCAGAGGAAAGTTCTGGGCAGCATCCGAATCATCCCTGTTCCCATCCCTTTTGCAGTCTTTAATTCTGATAGATGAAAGGAAGACAAGTATAGATAGAAAAAGGAGAAAATATGCCAGAAAAAGGATTCAAGAGCACTGGGGAGGCAAGTGAGTGACACAAGGATAAAGCAACAAAAACAAATGTGAGAAAGACTACACCCTTTCCAAACCGTCCGCCCGTTCCCTTGGGCCAATTAATTCCCAACACTGCCTTTTCCTTTCCTTCAGTGAAGAACTGAGGGGTGAAGAGTCGCCACATTCCCTTGTTCTTTCCTCATGTCTTAATTAGTCAATTTATATGCAAGGGGAAGCTATCCAACCCCCAAACACGTCCCAGCACCCGCACAAAGTGATGGAGCTCACGGCGAGCTTGGGCATGGGACTCTCAGACTCTGTCAGGTCCGCTTAGGACTTCTCAGCTCAATTAGCGTGGGCAGACGGCATGGAAATGTGGCACTGGCTGGTAATTGACTTACAACCATGGTGGGCAAGGGAAGGTAGGGCTGGGCGGTTTCGTTTCGTTAATTCGTAATTCGTTAATAATTCGTTAATTTTTTCAATTACAAAACGATAACGAACCATTCTGGAGCAATTATCAAAAAAACGAATTTTCAAAAACGTTTTGTAAATGCTTCGTATTCCGATATTGTATTCGTTTCGTTATTGTTTTGAGGTCGTTTCGTTATTATTTCCGCATGTCTGGGCCAGTTTTATGGTTTAATTAGTGAAAAAAAATTATAATATCACACCAACAGTCAACAACAGAAGGAGAGGGAAGCTTCAGAAGGTTTTGGAGGTTTTTTAGCGTATTTTGCGGTCGCGCCCGCCATTAACGAATCGATTCGTTATTGTTTCGGAAATCGATTCGTTAATTTTTTACCATTTACAAAATTTCGTAAATATCGAACTTTTTAAAAGGAAAATTTTGTAATTATTTTAAATATCGAAACAAAAAACCCCCCCAAATACAAATCGATTTTAGAAACAAATTTTTCCGTTGTTACCCAGGCCTAGAAGGCAGGCCCAGTTCCCTTGCTTGCCACGGCCAGCTCCAGCCAAGTGGGAATGGAGACAAAGGGCTGCAATACAGGCCAGTCCAGTTACAACATCCAACTTACATACATCTCATAATTAAGAATGGGGCTGAGACAACAGGAAGTGAGGGAAATTACCTCTTGGAAGGGAAATCCACCCCTGAAAGAGTTATCATGGGGGGAAAAGTGTCTTCACTTTTTTTTCTGTGTCAGGAGCAACTTAAGAAATTGCAAGTTGCTTCTGGTGTGAGAGAATTGGCCGTCTGCAAGGATGTTGCCCAGGGGATGCCCAGATGTTTGATGTTTTACCATCCTTGTGGGAGGCTTCTCTCATGTCCCCGCATGGGGAGCTGGAGCTGACGGGAACTCATCCGCGTTTGCCCCGGATTCGAACCTGCGACCTGTCGGTCTTTAGTCCTGCCAGCACAAGGGTTTAACCCACTGCACCTCCAAAGGCTCCAAGGAGTGTCTCCACTGAAGCTTTATCACCAATCCTTGTCTCCACAACAAACCAAACTTTTCAAAATCCAGGGACAGCAAGTGAGAGGAAATCCTCTGAACAGGGGCACAGATAGCAAAACAAACACCACAGGAGTGTTAACCCTTCCCTATGCTATGCAAAATGAATATACATATATATTTTTGGCTGGAGGGAAACTTTAAAACATACCTGTTCCGACTTACATACAAATTCAGGTTAAGAACAAACAGACAGAACCTGACCAAAAAGTTTGGAGTTTGAATCTGGGTAGCGGGATGAGATCCCACTGTTAGCCCCAGTTCCTGCCAATCTAGCAGTTTGAAAACATGCAAATGTGAGTAGATCAATAGTTACCGCTTCTCTGGGAAGCTAATGGCTGGAGATACACTTAAAAATGGCTGGAGGTACACTTAAAAATGTACCCATTCTGACTTATATACAAGTTCAGTTTAAGAACAAACCGACAGGACCTGAACGAAAGGTTGGCAGTTTGAATCCAGGGAGTGGAATGAGCTTCTGCTGTTAGCTCCAGTTTCTGCCAACCTAGCAGTTTGAAAACATGCAAATGTGAGTAGATCAATAAGTATCGCTTCTCCGGGAAGGTAATGGGTGGAGATACACTTAAAAATGTACCCATTCCAATTTATATACAAGTTCAGCTTAAGAACA